ACGCTAAAGCACTAAAACGGGAGTGGGGGTGGGGAATGATGAAGTGAAAGCAGAAGTTCTGATTGCCACAAATACAACATCCCCACATGTTCCCCTCCCCTGCTACTGCTGATCAGCATTTTGGTGATATGTTTCAAAGAGGAACTGCCATGAAAAGCATTTCTGTTGTAGTGGTTCTTGCTGTTATCCAGATATACTTGCTTTTTAGTTATGACCATAGAATTCTGTAGGTGTTATCAATGACCTTGGTTTTCAATGCACCATTGTTTGTTTATCATAAACAGTAGTAAATATCAATGCCAGAATGACCTCCCTTGCTCTCACCTGCAGCTTTCTTTTATTGCCATCTACTGCCTCCCAACCCCTTCCTCATCTCACTTCACCCATGCTGTTGGGAGCAGGGTTGAAAGAGTTCAAAAAGTTGGGTGAATGTCAAAGTCTCTTTTTTTACTTTACACTGACCAAATGTGATATGTAGATATTCTATGGTAACTTCCATATACAGACTTGGGAAGAATCTCACTGTTTGAGGGGGACCTGATAGAGCCTCTCATCCAGTTTCCTTTCAAAAGTATGACATGCCAGTGTCATGGCATTGACAGTTGAGATGGGTCAGTGTACTACCAAGCCATGGCTAGGAATGGATTCTGAAGTCTTGTATTTGTTTTTGGACTTATTCCCTAAAGGTGAAACTAGCCAGAGGTGAAGATGGAGATTGCTGATTTTTCTGTCCTAAATATCTGAAACTGGTCTAAAAGTCAGTTTTTCTTTTCGACTTCCTTGAGTAAGCCACCTTCCAGTCCAGGACCCTACCAGGGTATAAATAACTTAACTTAGGACTCTGTCTGGAACATCCTTTGGGCCATTCTGGATCCTACAGGTCTTGGTAACTGACAAGTGCAGGCCTCCAAAGGAGCTAGATAAATGGCCTCTATATTCCCTTGACTTGCTTCTTATGTTCAGTATACAAGTGAAGGTTGGCTAAATGAGAAGATAATGGCAGCTTAGGTAGAAGTAAGTCCAAAAATTTTTAGCACTAGGAAGCTTCTTAAAGATCATTTAGTCCCTTTATTTTACAGATGAGGAGACTGAGCCTAGAGTGAGAATTGTAATATCTCTGATTTATAAGGCAATGTAAAGTTTATCCAGTTTGACCTCCCAATACCTTCTTATCCTCTAGAAATTTCTCCTTCAATATGCCTGATACTAATAGCTGGTTATCCAGAGGCTGAGGGAATTTACAACCTTATCTAAAAAGAACCTATTCTACTGTAGGACAGTGCTAATGAAAAGAAACTAGGTAACTAGATAGTTAACTTCCATGTCATTTATCTTCTTAGCAAGTCTAATTTAATTTCTCTCCTCTACAATAACCCCCCAAATTAGGAAATAACACTATAGCATATAATTTCCCCAAAGTAAAATAAGACTGAAAAAGATCTTTACTGATTCCATAAAGACTAGGCATTACACTCTTTCATGTGTCCATAACAATAACAAGTCCTCCTCCTCCTCTTCCTCCTCCTCCTCCTTCTGTTTGTTGTTGTTTGTTCTTTTTTTTTTTTCCTATCCTGGGGATTGAACCCAGGGGCACTTTGCCCCTGAGCTGTATCTCCAGTCCTTTTTTAAAATTTTTTATTTTGAGACAGGGTCTCACTAAGTTGCTGAGAGTCTTGCTACATGGCTGAGGCTAGTCTTGAACTTGGGGTTATTCTACATCAGCCTCTTGAGTTGGTGCAATTATAGGTATGCACTCTCACACACAGCTCTGTAACTTCTTTTTTCATTTAAGAACCACTACTTCCTTGGTTCTTTTCATATTTTATTTCTGTCACTAGCACTAGCATTTAACTCTTTTCATGACACTTTTAATAAGGAAGCATACATTTAATCACTGTGCATATAACTGTATATATCTACAGGGAAAAACCAGCAGGTGGAGATCAAGTAGGCTAGACTCGCCCCTGCAACTTGCCTATGGTTTCTCAATTCATATGTTCTACCTGTGATATGGTGGGCCCCCCTTTCTGCTCTCTCCTTCTGAGCTTATGACGTTTTCCAGTTGGTCTTCTTATCTCCACCCTTTTCCTATCCCAAAATAAATTCTGTTGAATGATTTGTCTAAAATGCAAAATTGACCTGTACTTCCTTAATTCAGTTGTTCCTCAATACCCACTGTTGTATAATTTTTCCAGTTATGTGCTACTGATGTTGGAAGAGCTTTTGTCAACTGGAGTTTCATAAGAAAATTAAATCCTAATGCCATTAGCCATTTATTGTATGTAATATATTAACTTGTTTGCTCTGTATCTAGAATGGTGCTATTATGTACAATCTTAAGGAAAACTGAGAAAAGTCACTAATCATTTTCTTTGTTCTGTGATTCAGACAAGTAACCCAGTTATGAAAGACTGGAGAAGTATCTGTTTTTCAAGAGGCCCAGGAGCATAGCTGGGAGCAACTTCAAGGGGAAAACCATGAAATTTCATTGAATCTAGGGTTTTATTTTTAATTTTTATGTGAATATTGCATTTAACTATATAATATGTCCATGGTTAAAACCTTATTTATTTATTTATTTATTTATTGATTGATTGATTGATTGGTAGGTACTGGGGAATGAACCCAGGGACACTTTACCCCTGAGCTATATCCCCAACATTCTTTTATTTTTGAGACAAGGTCTTACCAAATTGCTTAGGGTTTCGCTGGTCTTGCTAAGGCTTTTCTTAAACTTGTGATCCTCCTGCCTTAGCCTCCAAAGTCACATCCCCAGTCCTTTTTATTTTATTTATTTAATTTTGAGACAGGGTCTCACTAAGTTGCTTCTAACTTGCTGAGGCTGGCCTCAAATTTGTGATCCTCCTGTCTGAACCTCCCAAGTTACAGGTGTAAGCCAATGTGCTTACCTACAGGGCATTTTTTTTTTTTTTTTAGAGACAGGGTCTCACTGAGTTGCTTAGTGCCTTACAGTTGCTGAGACTGGCTTTGAACTCATGATTTTCCTGTCTCAGACTCCCAAGAGGCTGGAGTTATAGGCATGCACTCTCACGCCCAGTGTCTAGAGGGCATTTTATGTATGTATATTATTCCATGTCCCTAGAAAAGTTATTCAAGATAACACAATAAAACGTCAGAGTCAAGGTACTAACCCATGTATATCAACTCCAAAGCCCAAAATGAGTTTTCTACTGCTTGAAGCTAAGTTGAGAGAATTAAGAGCCTAGAAGTCCTTTTTTTTTTTTTTTTT